TTGGGCGAGTCTCCTGTGTAAAGTGATGATAATGAAGCCTGCTGTAAAGGGTGGAGGGCAGATTAAGTGCGATTAAGGGGTGCTGGCCTCACGTTCTGGCTTCACATTAGTTGGCCTTCATTCCTAGGTGGCTGGGGGGGTGGGGGCTGGGCCATCTGTAGGCTCCTCCCCCATCAGCGCACCCCATAGCACGTGGCCAAGCCTCTGGGCAAAGGGGAAGACTGACTTTCTGCCGGCTGGGAGCCAGCACTGTTTTTCCTCCAGTGTGTGAGTTGGGGTGGTGGCCCTTCCTCAAGTCCACAGGCTGTTCTATAATGGGTCCTGATTTAGGGGTCCCCCCCCCAACTGGGAGAGTAGAAGTGACTCACTCAAGGTCAGGAGGCCACCACGGGCAGTCAGAATGAGGTTCCAGGTGTCTTGACTTCCAGCCCAGTGCCTGTGTCCATGGCACCCCCTCGCCCCAGCTGTCTGGATTATTTTGGTCTCCTGCCCGTGCCAGCTGTCTGCTGGCATCACTGCCCGGGAGCCGGCAAAGCTGTCTGGTTGAAAGTAGCCAGCATGGTACTTGTAGTTCCTTCTGGCTGCCGAGTCTTGACTGCATGAGGGTCTTATCCCAGATAAGCTGGATTTGGTCCATCCTGTCCTTTGCTCCGGTGAAGGGGGTGCAGCTGACTACACTCGGCACTAGACTCCCTTTCCCCTACCCACAGTGAGTACTTTGTAAAAGCTGGTGAGGCTCAGATTATTAACATCCTATACTATGAGCCTCTTCCCGCGTTCCACACTTGTCCCAGTCCTAGGCTTAGATTCTGCTCTGCCATTGATGTGTTCATTCAACTCCCTTCGATCCTCAGGTGACCTTTCTGCCACCTGAAGGTGTCCTCCATCCTTTCTGATCGAGTGTTTGGGGCTCCGAGGAGCCGGGGTCTTTACCTCCCGTGGGCAGTGGATGGTTAAATAATTGAAATTCTTCCCTTTCAGCAGCAGCCTGAAGGGCTACTGTCAATTCCAGTTCCTCCACTCCCGCCCTCGGACCAATTAGGGAACAATGAGGCGCTCCCCTGGGGTCGGGCTGTGATTCTTGGAAAGGGAGGGGTGTCCGGGAGACCTGGAAGGATCATACCCCCTTCTGGCTTCTTTTTCTCTCCCTCCTGAATTTCTGTCCCCATGCTGGTATCACCTCCTAGGTGAAGGGAGGGGCGGGGCAGCCTATCAGTCCTCAGATGGTTCCTCAGTCCTCAGATGGCGGCCCCGCCCACCGGTCACCCAGCGAGCTTGGGGCGGGGCGTTCCTGGCGCCCAGCCGGTGGAGCCTGCCTGGAGAGGGCCACGCCAGCGGAAGGGCGGCCGGGAGGTGGCCGGACCTGACTTACTACTGGACGCCAGGGCCCCGCCCCTTCCGGCCCGTCAGCCAACAGGCGCGGCGTGGAGTGCGACCTTTCGGACCCTCTGGGTGGAGACTGAGCGTCTGCCTGGACTGTGGAGGACACCCGGCCATCTCAGAGGCAGCCTGGGTCCAGTGCTGTTTGTCACGTTCTGCCCAGTGACCTAGACAAGATCCCACCCCTCCAGGACTCGTGGTCTCCCCTTGTGTACCAGGAGGAGGAAGTTGGCGGATAATCTCTTGAGCTGTTTTCTGAGTTTGACGTTATGAAAGCCGCTTTTTTACTCTGGCAGTCACTCCCTCAACCCTGTTACCAAATGTCGAGCCTGGAGGAGAGCCCTGGCACAGGAAGAGACAGCTTTGATCCCCCAGGCCACCCTGGGCCACCTCCCATCTCTGGGACCTCAGAGGATGGCTCCATTAACTTCTGTCCCACATGGAGTGGATGACCCCTCAGGTGTGCAGTGACCTCCGACAGTGTTCCCGAGGCACTAGGGAAGTGGACGCCATAGCATTGCTGTTCACTTCCCTGGCCAGACCTTGACCTCACAAGACAGAAGTGTATCTGGTCCTGCTTCTCTCCTGGGGTCAGTTGGCCTCACTAGACACCCTGGGCTTCCCAGGTGGCTCAGACAGTAACGAATCTGCCTGCAATGCAGGAGACCTGGCTTCAGTCCTTGAGTTCGGAAGATCTGGAGAAGAGAATGGCTACCCACTCCAGTATGCTTGCCTGGAGAATCCCATGGATAAAGGAGCCTAGCAGGCTACAGTCCATAGGATTACAAAGAGTCGGACGTGACTGAATGACTTAACACTGGGAGAGCCCCTAGGCCTAAGTGTGAACACAAGTCACTTCACCCCCACAAATGTCACCTGCCAACTCCCCTAGGCTTCTGTGTCCCAACAGTTCTGTGGCAAGAACCAGGTTAAAGAATTTTTTTCCTCTCCTCCCATATCTCTCCAGGAATTCCTGGTGAAGTGAAGAATGGCCTGGGTCCTCACATGGTCTTACAGGTAAGGGAGTAGGGCTCCGCGGGCCTGTGGGCATTTCCAGTGCCTCAGCTGGCCTGCCCTGGCCCAGCGCCTCTGGGGAAGCTCTGAGCAGCTGGCCTGGCCCCTGGGTATTTTTAGCTACAAAGCCAGCCCCTGCACCACCACTGGAGCCAGGTCCAAATCAAACACGCTCCCTGCTGGGTGGGGTTGGGGCTCCGCCAGCCTCTTGGCCAGGCAGGGTGGGTGGGCAGGCTGGGGCCAGTGTCCGCGGTCCTGCCTGGGCCCAGGCCAGGCTGGGAAGACCCACTCTTCCTCCTCTTGGCTCTGCGTTATGTCATTGTTGTAAGTTGAAATTCATTTCGTAGAAAAGGTAGAAACTGAGGTCTGAGGACTTTGAGGAAAGTCAAGTGGCCTCCCCCTCCAGGCTGGAGCGGTTACCACAGTGTGCTCAGAGTGGGTGACCCTTCTAAGTGAATTCTCCCAATGACCCTCCCAGATGAGGTAGTCTTACTCTCCCAGTCACTCCCTGAGCTTCAGGATCCCTGATACAAGGTCAAGCCTGCGGTTGGCTCAAAGGTAAGTGGTCCTCCCCTTTCTCCCAAAACCTTTTTCCATCCTTCCACTCTCCGAGTGATGCTCTTCCCCTCCTCTCCTGCCAGGGCCAGGCTGCCCCAGTGCAGAGATGGCCCCAGCTGTGGCCTCACCAGCCAATCACAGCTCCTCCTTAGTCACCGGAGAGATCTTTGGCTTGGGTTTTCTGTTCAGAGCCTGTCTTAAGCCTGCAGCTAGGCCTCCATGGTCTAAGCCTTGGTTTCCTTGACAGCCATGTCTCGCCTCTCTCCAGACGCCCCAGCCATTGCCAAACTTGATGGGGGTTTTCCAGCCACCATGCATTTACTCAAGCTGGGTGCCCATCCTACTTCCATTGACCCTTCCTGCCAGCATTGCCAAGCTTAGTTCATGTGCTACCCAGCTGTCAACCTCTGAATCCCACAGGGACTCTGGTGTCTAAATAGCTCACATCTTGCAGACTCTTTTAGACTGCTTCCCCCAAGATTGAGTTCCTCAAAAGCAGGAACACAGTTGCCTCTCAATAAACTTGTGCTGCAAAAAAAAAAAAAAAATGAATGAATTGCTGTAAATTTGTCTAGGGGTTCTTGAGGGCTCTCCACTTAACAGCCTGGATCTGGGCTTCTCTCTTCCCAGGTCTGTGCTCTTTGAAAGCTTCCAGGGGCAGTCTCTGCTGCCATCTGGTGGTCAGATTGTGCCTTGCAGCCGCCGAAAACGTTGACCTGGCATTTATGGAACTGCCTGGCTGGCAACTTCCTCTAGAAATAAAGTTTACCTGATCCTTGCTGAGTGCTTGAAAAATGGGGAATTTTCGGGGTGGGGGCAAGAAGATCCCGAGTCCTGCCAGCTCTTCTCTGAGGAAACTATCAGAGGTCCCATCCTAGCTGGGAAAGACCCTGCTTTCTCACCTAGCCATGCCCTGGTGCTTGCCTGGTACACGCCTGCTCCTGGGGATCCCTCTGCAACTCCGGACCACTGACCTAATTTGTGCAAAGCACAGCCCAAGGTGCAGGGAGGGGTGGGGCGGGGTGGTTTCCTCCAGCCTTCCTGATGGTACTCATCCAGAGTAAATGCTCAGCAAATACCCGTTTTGGTCATGGGGTAGGAGGGTTAGGGAGACAGCTTGAGAAGGATGGGTATTTCTGCTGTCTGGAGAATACAAATTGTCTTGGTGGAGGTGGGGGTATCAGTCTCAAGTGGACGGAAGGGGGTCCAGCTGATCGCAACTGCATCTACCCTGGCCTTCCCTGTCCCCTCCTCGACGGAGTCTGGCTCTGCTTACGCCTCTGGGCCTTGCTAGAAAGAGGCTCCCACCCGCGTGGTTTGGGACCAACCCTCGAAAGGGCATTGTTCTGGCTCCACTCACCTGTTCCCAGAGTCGCGGCGCCGATGCCATCGCCCGGCAGAGGGCGCCAGACCACCACCTTTGGGAGGTGGGGTGATAGTAAACGGAACTGATATTCCCCAGCCCACACACTGACTCCCAGACGGCCTGATCAGGTGGGCAGACTTGACCCTCATACTAAGATCTTATTGGGCACCACCGATGCTGTCTTCTGGGGGAGATTGCAGTCAGAGCGAACTTCCCCAAGGCCACATAATTGGGGTGAGGCGCAAGTGGGGGAGCTTTTCCTGGCGCTTGAGACCAAGGCTCTTCGAACCGGCGTGTTGGGGGACATCCTGCCAATCAAAAGGCTGTGATCCGATGGGGGAGGCCCAATCGGCCAATCAGAGGGTCCCTGCCCGAAGACAACTTGCCAATCAAGGATGCCGGGTGGGAAGGGGCGGAAACGATCGGATTTTGCTGATGGGGGGCGGCAAGGGGAGGAGATGGGAGCTGCCATTGCCGCCGAGCTCTCCATTTCTCAGTTGCCTCAGTTTCCCGGGGAATGAGACAGGTCAGCCTGGTTGGCTGCCTGGCGGAGGAGGTGCTGAGTCCGAGGGCGGGGCTTCTCAGCCCCGCCCCTGGGCCGGTTCCCACCCCGCCTCCGATCGCTCAACCCCAGCGCTCTACCCGGTGAGCGGCTGGCTGCCAGTGCTGCCGGCGAGCGGCTATGGACGCTGCTGGGGCCCCGGCCCCGGCCCCGGGCTCAGGCCGGAAGGAGCTGAAGATTGTGATCGTGGGCGACGGCGGCTGCGGCAAGACTTCGCTGCTCATGGTGTACAGCCAGGGCTCTTTCCCCGAGGTGAGGCTCGTCGGGGGGCTGAAGGCAGGTAGGCTGGGGGCGGGATGGGGGGAAGGACTTGGGACCACTAGGGGCGACGGACAGACCTCAGCCTGCGCCCCGAGCCCGGACCCCGGGTCCCTGGCATCCTGATCACGAAGAGGCGGCCGTCACCCCGGGGCGTCCCCTCGGGAATTCCGGAGTCCAGCAGAGTGGGGTGTGGGGCTGAGCCAGATGGGGTGAAGATGGAAGGTAGGGGTGGGGGTCCAGCTGGAACCTGGGCACCCGCTGCACCCCTTAAGAACCGACACGACCCCTTCTCCGACAGCACTACGCCCCATCCGTGTTCGAGAAGTACACAGCCAGTGTGACCGTGGGCAGCAAGGAGGTGACCCTGAATCTCTATGACACCGCCGGTGAGTGCGTCTGCGCGGCAAGGGTCCTAGGGTCCGCCTGCAGGGTTTCCCCCTGAGGGGAATCCCCCCGCCCGGCCATCCCCGCCCGCCCTCCTGCCTCTCTGGACCGCGACATCCAGCCACTCCTGGAGAGGCGCTGGCTGGGAGCCGGTTAACTTAACACTGCCTGGTTGGGTGGTGCTGGAAGCTCGACAGAGTCGCCCCATCTGTAAAAGGAGGGTGTTTGGAAAAGGTGAGCTTCTGGGCCGCCCTCCTAGTGCTGATGTTCTGAGGGCTCACAGCTTCGTTCCTCTCCTGTGGTTCTAGAAAACCGTGGGTTTTGCTTCTGTTTACCTTGGTTCCAGGATGTGTGTTACATGCTGTGGTCTGTTAAGATTCCGTGGGCTGCTGATCTGAGTCCCCTGCTGCTAAGGTTTCGTAGGCTGCATTTCTGGGTCCTATTATGTAGAATACTCTGGGCTTCAGATCAGAGCCTGTGAACTCCAGGAATCTGTGGCTGACAATCCTGAGACTCTAGGGCCCTGTAACTATAAATTGAGTCCCGTGTTTCTGGGATTCCATGGACTGTGGTGCCTGGCTCTGGAATTCTGTGGTCTGTCATTCTGAGCCTGTGGTTCTCAGATTCTGTGGCTACACTTCTGTTTCTTCCTGGCACTGAAGAAGGAGCAGAGCTCTAGGGGATGTAGGTCCAAAATAAGGTTCTTTCTGCCACCTGCAGCCTCCCAAGGCAAGTGTATTTATGCTGATCCCATCGCAGTCTTCAGCGTTCCTATTGTTGGGGGATGGTAGGAGGAGTACAGCCAATGGAAAGATTCCAGTAACACTGCTGCTGCTGGTACCCTTGAGGAGCTTACCTCGTGCCCCAACTCCCTTCCGGGCTGAATCAACACCGGGGAGCAAAGGTTAGGATCCCCAGTTGGGGCCTCACCCAGCCTCTGTGACTCTGCGTTTAATGACTTGTGTGGAACCATGTCATCAGGTGCCCTGTCACCCAAGCCTTTTATGTATAAAATGAAGTCTTCCAACTGCCCTTGGATGAGACCAAAATCCCCCACCCACATCCCTAGCTCCCACCCCACTGTGCACCTCTTCATAAGGCCACCAGTAGCATCTGTCATTCCACCCTGGAAAGGCTCAGGAAAGGGCTGAGGACCGTGCAGGGCCGCCTCCAGAACAGGGCCAGCCCCGTGAACTGGAAAAGCCAAAGGCCTCTGAGGAATTCCCAAAGGCGTGGCCCCAAGAGCAGTGGTGTGTCTGGGGCACTTTCAGTTTCACACGTTTCCTGTCCAAGGCCCAGGTAGGGGGAGGTTCATTAACTCCCCTCTGGGTGGAGGGCTAATGGGGCAGGGAGGGTCAGAGCAAGGATTCAACCGGCTCCTCGTTCCTCCCCTCTCAGGCCGCCTCCACTCAGATCCTTGGGGCTCACTGTTCACCGCAGCCTGCCCCAGCAGACCCAGTGAGGGACCACTTCTGATCTTTCTCGCTTAACCCAGAGGAAGATGCTCAAAAGACTTATCAGAATACATTGTCATGAAGAGGTTCTGGCAAGCTTCTGCTTGGTATAAGGCAGGGTTTTCACTAAGAACTCGTGCCAGAGGGGTGGGGAGAGTGCTTTCTCAATCATCAGAAGCAGTGACCACCCAGGGCAATGATGACCTGCCCACAACTTCCTGCCACATGCTCCGGAGTCCGACCTGGGCTTTGATGCCAGCTCTCATGGCTGTATGTCCCTGGGGACACCTGGGCCTCAGTTTCCTCCTCTGTGTGTGTGTGTGTGCTCAGTCGTGTCTGACTCTTTGAGACCGCATGATCTGTAGCCCGCCAGGCTCCTCTGTCCATGGGATTTCACAGGCAAGACTACTGGAGTGGGTTGCCATACCCTTCTCCAGGGTATCTTCTTAACACAGGGATCGAACATATGTCTTTGCGTCTTCTGCGTTGGCAGGTGAATTCTTTACCACTGCACCACCTGGGAAGCCCCTTCCTCCTCTGTAAACAGGGCTAACATAGTTGTGAGGATAATGTCAAAATCATGTGATGTACAGTGCTTAGCACAGGGCCTGCCTCTTCCAAAGAGCTCACTGAGTGTTATTGGGAGTTTTTTAACCTCCTGCCATTCAGGCCCAGGCCCGAGCCTAAGCCTGTTCTTTTGAACCCATGGCCTGCAGAGCTCTGTGCCAGCCCCCACCCATGCTTTCCCAGCAGGACTGTTCCAGGTGGCAGAAAAGCAGAGCTGGGGTTTGAACCTCTCATTAGTGTTCTGGGGAAGTAGGCTGGCCTTACAATCAGTGGGACAGCCCAGGAGAGATACTCTAATGGGGAGAGATGTGGCTGCTCCCTCAAGAGTGTCCTGCTGTGTCTTGGAAAGCCCCACTATCTAGAGGAACGTGAAGGAAAGGCTGGGTCATTCCTCTTCCACATGCCAGTGCCCAGCACAGCACTTGTCCCAGAGCAAGCCTTGTGGAATGAATGAATGAAGAAGAATCCTGAGTACAAAGAGATCTCTGGAGAAGGTCCTTTGTGATAAAGATGGTAAGATTGGTCTCTGCCTTTGGGGTCGACAGATATCAGGAGAAAGTGGCAGAAAAGATGGCCAGGTGACCAACTAGAGGAAGATAGAGACTGCGAGGGTGAAAGGAGTGGCCAAGGTGGAGATGAGTCCAGTAAAGGTTGCTGTAGAAGGTTCTAGAACCAGACAGGCCAGACCCAAGGTGAGGGGTGGAGGACAGGAGAAAGCATCTTTCCAACCAACCAGTGGTACCCAGAGCTGTGGGATGGGGTGGCCCCTGGGAAGCAAAATTTCTCTATACCCAGGACCCTGCCCACCGGGGTCTGTGTGGGAGGACAGTCTGGCTGCTTGCCTCCATCTGGCGGAAGCAGTTACAGACACTGCTGTAGCAGATGGAGGGGTAGTGAGGGGGACGGAGCTCCCAGTGCTCAAAGGTGAAGTTGGGGGCGGGAGCTGTGAGCACCCATCGCCCTAGCGGCTCATCTGCCGCCTCAGAGGCCGGAAACTGCGGTGAAGTCTGAAGTTTCCTGGGCAGAGAGAGGGGAGGTGTGGGGTGAGGTGGGATGTTAAGACACCAACCAGAGACAGAGTTAGCTGGGCTTTGGGGTGTGGGGCCCAGGGGTGGGGCAGGGTGGAGTTGCCCTGGGAAGTGGGGAGCTGCGGGCCCCTTCCCAACCTGAGACGGGAACGGTAGGACAAGTGGGGGGCAAAGCAAGTTGCTAAGACCACTGTGGTGTCTCGGAGTCAGGAGCCCCAGAGGCGGGGGAGCTGACCCTGCAGGTCCGTCAGAGCAGCGTGGGCTGAGTTCCAGGCCCCGGGCCACCCAAGCACCAGCCGCTCCTTTCTCTGGGGGAGGAAACACAGGTTGGGGAGGCCCCAGCAGCACTAGTACAGAAGTGGGTTCCTCTTCTGGCAGCTTCCCCTTCTCACACTGCCTGCACCCCTACCCTGACCAACACCCCAGCCAGAGCTGGGAACTATGTGCCCGGTGGGTGTCCTCTGGCAGATTTGGGGACTGCTGTGGCTCCAAGGACACCCTCTCCCCAATCCAGCACCAGCCCTTAGAGACCATGCCCCCGACACGATGCCTGCCATGGCAGAGCTTCCCACAAAGGAAATACCCTTGCGTGAAGCAAACTCCCTTGTGAGTTTCTATTTCAATAGTAACCACAACTTTGGCCAGCATTGCTCAGCCTACAAGTCCTTTACTTCCAAGATCAAGGACAGGGTTATCACCCCCTTTTCCAGATAAGGAAACTGAGGCCCAGGCAGGGGAGGTGCCAAGATAATGGAACATGAGTCAGAGTGGATCTTGGTTCTCCTGACTCATACAGGAGTGGTGTCCAGGATATTCCACTCCCAAAGAAACAAGGTTGGCAGCCCCTGCAAGTCCATCCTCTGCGGGCCTGGTCCCTGCATACTGACCCCTGGGGAAGCTGAGCCAGACATGGTCAAGCCAAGAAGGCAACCCAGAGGAGGTGCTGAGATCTGGGCTGGCTACCCATCCTCTCCCAGAGTTCCTCCCTTGTTGGCAGCCTTTTTCTCACCTGGTTGGGGCTGGGGCTTGTAGAATAAGGAAAGCTTCCTATCCTCTGGGGTGCCCTGAGAGAAAAGCACCCCAGTAGCCCTCCCTATGGTCCTCTATCCTTTACGAACCTTCCTTTTGGCTGTGTGATGTTGGGCAAGTCACTTCACCTCTCTCTGCTTGTTTCTGCATTTGTAAATTGAGGGTAACAATAGCCAGTAGTGGGAATTCCCTGTCGGTCCATTGATTAGGACTCTGAGCTTTCACTTGCCAATGGCCTGAGTTCGATTCCTGGTTAGGGGACCAAGATCCCACAAAGCCATGTGATGAGACCAAAAAAGAAAAAAAAAAAAGCATACAAAAGGCTTTGAATGGGGCCTGTCATGTGATGAGTGAACACTGCTGATAAATACTGTTGACACTAACCATTTTCACTATTATTATCACAGGCCCACCTACTCCTCACATGTCCATTTCACAGATGAGAAAACTGAGGTCCAGAGATGAATTCCCAATTGAAAGGCGTCCTGGGAGGATTGGAGTTTTTAGAGTGGCTGGGCTGGCAGCTGACCTTGGAACTGGGGACTGAGTTGGTGCTTCAGCTAACAGGAAACCTGTCTATGACCTTGAAATCACCCCCAGCCACGTGGGCTCCTAACAGGAAGAATTTGCCCCACCCAGCTTCCCTCCTGGGGTGACTGCTTAAATTAACACAGGTGGGACTTCCCTGAAGGTCCAGTGATTAAGAATACATCCTTCCACTGAAGCAGGGTGGGGGGCGGCGGGGGGCGGCACTAGTTTGTAGTTTGATCCCTGGTCGGGGAACTAAGATCCTGCAAGCTGAGCAGCCAAAAAAATTTTTAACACAGGTGATGGACATGAAATGCCCTTGCAAGCCTGAAAGCCATAGAAATTATCATTACACTTTATTCACCCACTCATTTGTTTGTTCTTTCATTCCCCCAAATGTTTACTGAGCTTGTATGTGTACCCATTGATGTAACAGTGACGTGTACAGAGATGGCCCCCATCTCAGGGTCTTATGTGTTCATGGGGAACACCTCCCTCCTCAAAAAAAAATCATGATGTCGGGTAGTGATGTCCTTTCTAGGAAGAAAATTAAAGCCATAGTTGGTCATGGGACAGATGGCAAGGATGCTCTTATTTCAAAGCAGTCTGGAAAGTTCTCTAGGAAGAAGTGACATCTCTGCAGAAGCCTGAAGGAAAGGAGGGAGTGAGCCATGCTGTTACCTGGGAAGAGCATTCTAGAAGAGGGAACAGCAAGGGAGAGGCCCCTGCCAGGAGCAGGCTTGGTCTGACTTCCTCTTTCTACCAGCTTGACTTCGGCCCCCTGTAGCCTGCTGCAGTCAGCTCAGGCCCCAGTTTGCTCAGCCCAGTGGCACCTTCTCACCTCCCTGGTCCCTGCCGCATCTGACAAGAGTTGGACGACTTCGAGACAGCCCACCAGCCAGTAGTGACTGGATACCTACCCAGTGCCAGGAATGATGTTTAAGGACAGATGTGGTCCCTGCTCTCCAGGTGCTTACAGTCTCCTGGGAGACAGGTAGTAAACGAATAAACGTGTGAGTACAGACTGTGGCCAGACAGGGCGGGGACGGACTCTGGTGAGGAAAGGCCTCTCTGAGGAGTCAGCTGGGCAAGGTGGGGAAGACCTCGGCACAGACATCAACACGCAGTAGTCCCATCTCACAACTGCCTGTCTTCTCCTGCCGTGTTTCTAAACGGGAATCTGAGTGTATGTTAGGCCTGGAACCGGTTTGTGCGTACTACCGAGCAGAAGAGAGCACTGCTGTGTATCAGCAGAAGGAATGCTGGCCTTGGAACTGAATGAACCTGGATTCAGGCCTGGCTCTGATTCGGTGACCTCGGTGGGGGGGGTGGGGGGGGTCACTTCATGGCTCATGTTTCTTTATATGTAAATAGGAGGATTCAGGTGTTCCCTGACTAGCACACCAGGTGTTTGTTGTAAAGATTTCTTTTTCTTTAATTTTTTTTTACTTTTTAAATTTAATTTTCTGGCTGCGCTGGGTCTTCATCGCTGGCACAGACTTTCTCTGGTTGTGGCGAGCAGGGGCTACTCTCTAGTGGGGGTGCCAAGGCTTCTTGTGACTTGTTGTGGAGCACAGGTTCTAGGCGCTCTGGCTCAGTAGGTGTGGCACACGGGCTTAGTAGCCCCGAGGGACGTGGAATCTTCCTGGACCAGGGGTTGAACCTGTGTCCCCTGCATTGGCAGGCAGATTCTTAACCACTGGACCACCAGGGAAGTCCATGTTGTAAAGATCTCTTAATCATTTAGAGGCAGAGGCCCTGTAAGAAGTGTGTGAAGGGACATCCTCGGTGGCCGAGTGGTTAGGATTCTGGGCTTTTACTGCCGTGGCCCAGATTCAATTTCTGATCTGGGAACTGAGATCCCACAAGCCATGGGTTGTTTCCAAAAAAAAAAAACTGTAATGCGTAACGTGGCATTATCAGTAAGTAGAGGTACAGAGAAGGCGATTATCTTGATAAAGGAAATAACTGGATGGTGAGTCTGAATGTTTAAAATGTTTGGAAGCAAATGATGGGGAAATGAGGAAAAAGCATTCCAGGTGTGATATGAGAGCTTGATGAGTTTGAGAAACAGCAAGACTGGACTGTAGTGAGTTGGGGGTAGGGGCACAGGAGGGAGGTGGGTGAAGCCAAGGTTGGTAGGCGCGGAAGTCATGTCAATAACCAGGAGAGTCTTGGATTTTCCACAAAGAGCAATAGGGAGCCATTGAAGGTGTTTCAGATGAAGGGAGGGGCACGATTTTACTTTTACTACTCTTTCAGGGGCTTCCCAGGTGGCGCAGTGGTAAAGAAGGCATTTGCCAATGCAGAAGGTGGCAAGAGACTTGGGTTCGATCCCTGGGTTGAGAAGATACCCTAGAATAGGAAATGGCAACCCACTCCAGTATTCTTGCCTGGAAAATTCCATGGACAGAGGAATCTGGCAGGCTACAGTCCATGAGATCGAAAAGAGTCGGACACAACTGAGCAACTCAGTGCGTGAGCACACACACAGACAGACAGACACACCACACCACCCCCATCCATTCAGCTGCCAGGTGGAGAATGGGTTGAGGAGTAGCAGGAGCGGAGGAGGCACGAGAGGCGGTGACACGGGAGACTGTTGGTGGCTTGGACGAGTTAATCACTTGAAATGTAGCCAATGCTACATTTGGAGAATCTGAATTTTTAATGTTAATTAACTAAAGTAGCCAGGTGGGGCTAGTAGCTACCCTATCGGACAGTGCAGGTTTAGAAAGATGTTCACAGAGGTCAGGAGAGGGGATAGTTTGGGGACGTGTGTGGAAAAGGGAGGAGATTGCTAGAGTAGCATGTTGGCCCGTTTTCCACCATCTTAAAAGGATTTCTCCTGCTTTCTGGCAATGAGGGCAGGAGGACCCAAGTATGCAGGCACAGACTGTCCCTAACCCCTTCTCCAGTGCTGAGGGCACGTGGGCTGAATGACCGCTTAGACAGTCCTCCTGGACCAGCATCGTTAGAGCTAGGCTCCTGGCCACTGCACACTGTCAGGGGACCCTGGGTTGACGGGGAGCCGGTGGGAAAGATGGCAGCTGTGCCGTCACCAGCAGGACATGGCCTGTCTGTGCTCTCCAGAGAGGCCGCTTGTCCTGAGAGGCCTTGGGCAGACAGGGGTCAGAGGGCAGGCTGGTGTCACCCTGGTACCCACAGGCTAGAAGGCAGGATGGGGATTCCTGGGCTCGGTGTTCTATGTTCTCTGGAAGGAAGTCGCTGCCTGAGTCTTTCTGCAGAGGTGGCCGGGGGTCGCTCATGGGCCTGAAAGACTCTCACTTCTCACTCTGGGAGTTTTTAAAAATTCCTGAGCCAGGGAGGAATGTTCAAGAGGGAGGGGACATATGTACACCTATGGCTGGTTCATGTTGATGTCTGGCAGAGACCAACACAGTTCTGTAAAGCCATTATCCTTCAATTAAAAATAAATAAAATTTTTTTAAAAATTACTGAGCCATGGGGACCACATGCAGTCTGTAATCCCAGGGCTGCTTCTGAAACAGAAAAAAATTCTGCAGGATGTTATTGGTGAGATCCAAACACAGCTAGTAGATTGGATTAGAAGAATACAGTCTCAGTGTTGGTTTCTGAGTTTCATATTTGTACTGAGGTAAGTGAGAAGACGTCCTTGTTCTTAGAAAAACCGCACGGGAAATCTCCGGAGTTTGGGGCGGGGGTGGGGAGAAGCAGCAGCCAGCCAAAGGTCTGCAATTACTTCTCACGTGGTTTAAAGTGTTTATATACAGATAAAGCAAGTGGATAAAACATGAGGCCCCAGTGAATAAGGGAGCAAGGGAGTTCTTTGCACTCTTTTTCAATTTTTCTGTAAGCTTGAAACTGTCAACAAAAAATTACTAGGTCTTTTTTTTTTTGAAAAAAACCAAGCCCACTGTTGCCCAAGCCCAGGCTTGGGTCCTGATTCAGTTGGTGCTGGGAGGGGCTGATATAGCAGAAGCCATCAGTTCCCCTGGTGACTCATGTGGTGCAGGGTTGACAACCAGTGCTGGGTGGGCCCAGGCAGGCCAATGCCTGTCATCCCCAGCAGTCCCCCCACCCTCCTATTAGCATGGGCCAGAATGGCAAGAGGAGTGTAACCAGAGGCCATGCCCCTCTCAGCCTGCGGCGGCAGGGGCACCCTCCACAGTTAACTGCAGTGTCCCGGGCCCACCCAACCCCACTGGTCTGCAACCTCGGGAGGGGAAAGGTTCGGTTTCTTCAGAGTCTGAGCCTTAAACCTGAGCATCGGGGATGAAGACGGAAGCGAGGGGTGGTGATCATCACCGACATGAGTGCTAGCCGTTTCCCAGCACTGACCCTTCAGCCAGGCCCATCTCTGAGCGCCGCAAGAGCACTGCACAGCTTTTATTTTTGAATGTGTTGTGTTTTTGTTGCTGCATGGGCTTTTTTTTTCTAGCAGGGGCAACTCTTTGTTCCAGCACGTGGGCTTCTCACTGTGGTGGCTTCTGTTATTGGGGAGCACAGGTCTAGGCCATGTGGGCTTCAGTAGTTGCAGCGCCCAAGCTCCAGAGCACAGGCTCAATAGTTGCGGTGCACAGTGTACGGGTTCAGTTGCTCTGAGGCATGTGGGATCTCCCCGGATCAGGTATCAAACCTGTGTCTCCTGCATCAGCAGGCGGATTCTTTACCACTGAACCCACCAGGGAAGCCCCACCGCTTTTCTCTCTTGTAATCTTCCCTACGGTCCAGCACTGTGGGCTGTCTCCTCTGTTTTACAGTTGAAGAAATCAAGGCCCAGAGACACAGAGTCAATTGCCTAGGAGACCTCCAACCTCTAACCCATCTGAGCCCAGGCAGGGGACTCGGGTGGAGAAGTAAGGGGTACCTCCCTGACCCCCACCTGCTGTCTGGTTTCAGGGCAGGAAGATTACGACCGGCTGCGGCCCCTGTCCTACCAGAACACCCACCTTGTGCTCATCTGCTATGATGTCATGAACCCCACTAGCTACGACAATGTTCTCATCAAGGTGAGGCCCTGTCTCCCAGCCCCACCTGCCTCTGGAAGTGGGGCCATAGATGGGGCTCTAGCCCTGATGCCCGCCTCCCCTTCCACAGTGGTTCCCCGAGGTCACACATTTCTGTCGTGGGACCCCCATGGTGCTCATCGGCTGCAAGACAGACCTGAGGAAGGACAAGGAGCAGCTGCGCAAGCTCCGGGCAGCCCAGCTGGAGCCCATTACCTACACACAGGTGACCAGGGGCTCCCCCCATCCCACCCCAAGGATCCCGGGTTCGCATCCACAGCCATCGCGAAAAGCCTCCCAGGCTTTTGGCCTCTGCATCTGGTGTGCCTTAGTGACCTCTTGGGAGCTGAAGGCAGCAGGATTCTAAGAATCATTTACCCAAGTGGTGCTAAAGAACCTGCCTGCCAGTGCAGGAGACATAATAGATTCAGGTTCAATCCATGGGTAGGGAAGATCCCCTGGAGGAGGAAATGGCAACCCACTCCAGGATTCTTGCCTGGAGAATCCCATAGACAGAGGAGCCTGGCAGTCCATGGGTTCGCAGAGTCGGACATGACTGAAGTGACTTAACATGCACACATGTGTATCTGCCATCCCACAGCTTGCAGGATCTTAGTTCCCCAACCAGGAATTGGACCTGGGGCCACGGCAGTGAAAGCACTGAGTTCTAACCACTGGACCACCAGGAAATTCCCTAAGAATAATAATTTTTAGATATTAATATTGATAGACCACTTATCTGAGCACATTACTTACCTTATTTAATCCTTATTACCTTGAGGCAGGCACTGTTACTGCCACCACCACCCCCAACCTTTTTTAGAGTAAAGATTGAGACTCAGACAGGTTAGGTAGCTTGCCCAGGGTCACACAGCTAACCTGAATTGGAGCCAAGATCCCACCCTAGTCACTCTGGCCCCAGAGCCTGAGCCTTTGACCACCATCCTGTCCCATCGCCCCAGAGGCCTAGACGGGCAGGCCTGTGTTGGAAAGCAGGGCTCCTTTCAGGAACCTGACCAAACCCTGCAGCTTCTGGGTGAGGCGTGGCAGAATAAAAGGAACACAAAGGAAAATGAATAAAGTTTAATCAAAAGGAATAGGCATTAATAAATTTGTTAGAAGTATTTTTCTTTCCACTCTAATAGCCAGCTCAGTTGCCTAAACTGTGCTTCTGAGACGAGCGGGGAGAGAGGCATGTGGGAAGCCCTTATGTCTTGAGGCCTTCAACACTTCTCACCAGACTGGCAGACACAACAGACCACCCCAGTTCCTGGCTGAAGTCAGCCCCTGTCTCCACCTCAGTTTGGGGAGAGCGTGAGGTAGAGGCCAGGACGGAGTTCCCAGCAGCCACAGCCCGTGGGCCACACCAAACCAGCCCTTATGACCCACCTGCACACCCTGGAGAGGGCGCTGGCCCCAGGAAGCCCACAAATTCGTTGAGTGGGGTCTCAACAGGAGGCGCCCCAGGCCCGCGGTCTAATCTCTGCCCCTCCCCCCACCAGGGCCAGAGCGCCTGCGAGCGGATCCAAGCCGCCCTCTACCTGGAATGTTCTGCCAAATTTCGGGAGAATGTGGAGGACGTCTTCCGGGAGGCCGCTAAGGTTGCCCTCAGCGCTCTGAAGAAAGCACAGCGGCAGAAACAACACCGGCTCTGCCTGCTGCTCTGACAGCTCCCGGCAGGGCATGCGGCCCTCACGACAGAACTGACAGGCCCCAGGCCCCCAGGCCCCCAGTGCTGCCCAGACCCTGCCCCTGCCCCAGCTCTCGAAGGGCACTTGGCGTCGGGCGCCTCCAGGACCTAGTGTCTGGAGCCTGTGGCCAGGCTCTTGGAACATTCTGGAACTCTCCTTTCCCAGCTGGAGCTCTGACCACAAGCTCCGCTCCAGCCTGTGTGGTCACAGTGGTGGTGAGGGTGGGGGGTGCTGGACTCGGTCCCTCTGTACCCTGAAACCAGCACTTATCCCCGGCACTCAGGAGTGCCCTCGTCACAACCAACCCCAGCTGTGTCCCCCCTCTGCACACCCAACAGGTCCTCCAAGCCCATGCCTGAAACAAGAAACAACGTCTGGTACGTGGATAAATGTGGACTTGGCAGCCTTCCACAGGGCTCCCAAGCCTGCTCTCCCAAGTCACCCGCCTCCCTGGGCCCCCGAGATAGGCACGGTCGAATCCTCCAGCTTCTCGCTTCCTCCGCCCGGAACTCAGGCACCACGGTGGGCCTGGGGCCTATCAGAAGAACACAGGCCTCAGCCCTGGACATGGGGGCCCTCCCTCCTCCACTTCATACAGAGGACTTCAGTCTTAGCCTTCAGCTTGGCCACCATCTTTCCAGAGCTGGATGCACAGGGGGGCAAAGAACCTCTCTCTAAATACAAGAAGTATTCCCTGGACCATCTATTTGATCCCTGCTCAGCGTCTGTGACCCTACCCTGGCCACGACTTGCCAGTAACCCAAGATGAAAAGTAACAGCGGCTCTTGAGTGATCTTGGGCAAGTCAGGTCTCTCTACAGATTTCTTTACCTGCAGAAGGATGACACTGGCTTGTCACCAGGCTGCCCTCTGTCCCAAACAGCCCCCCCTGCTGCTGAGGTGTGGAAACCACACACCAAGGCCATCCTGGCCTCCTGGGAGATTAACCCCCAGCACACCTTCACTGAACCTCCTAAAAGGTCTGGGGTCCCAGGTGATTCTGATGCCCCAGAGATTGTGAGCTGGTGGTTCCTGAATAAGCCGGGGAATCAGCTTTACCTACTATGAGATCATGGCGTCAGGTGGTTCCTGCCCTCCTTGTTATCTTCTGCCTCTGCCCCCTCCCTTGCCTAGTGCTCTGGCCTCCACTGGGCCTGAGAAAGAGACAAAACTTACCCTACCCCACCTAGGTTTCCCAAGGCCCTGCCATGCCTAGGGGGAGTCAACAGAGCATTCAGTCCAGAGCTTCGTGGACAAAGAAAGGATGGTCTAGGACAGAGGAGGTCCACAAACTAGTTTATGGACCAAATCTGGCCACTGCCTATTTTTGTAAATAAACTTTTATTGAAACACAGCCACGCCCATTCATTTATACATTGGCTGCCTTTGCCCTCCAATGGCAGACTCGTGTGACACAGACCATCTGGCCCTCAAAGCCTAAAATATTTGCCATCTGGCTCTTTACAGAAAAAAGTTTGCCAACTCCTAGGCTGGGGCAAACCCAAGTTCCTAAAGGGCCAGATGGGAGACCCAAATAAGTGAAGTAGGGTAGGGATGAAAGGAAGTAGTGGGGCAAACTAGAAAGCAAGCCCCCACCCTAGGCAAGGCAGCTCAGCCCAGCCAAATGCTGCTCTGTGGGAATGTTTCTAGATCTTTCCATTTCTCTAGGGAAAGCAGAAATCTGGATTTTTCATGTGGAATCTTACTGGAAGAAGGGGAAATACTGTATTTTGAAAATTTAAACTCCTTCGAGGGCCAGAGCATGACTACAGACACCATCTGTGAACTCTGGCCAACAGATTTCTAGGTAAGTTGTTAAGGGCGCCTGAAGCCCATATGAGGAGAAGATGCAGAAAATGCAACCAAACCTTTTGGCTTCTTCACAGATAGCGAACCTAATGTGAGGTGACCAGCAGGCCTGCCACGACCTTCAGAGGGTGACCTCCACAAAGTGAGCCTGCTCAGACTCGTCTCTCCTCCCTGCTACATTCCAGAACCTCTGAGGTGAAGCGGGGAAGCCCGGAGCTCGGGTGACCTCCATGCTAGCTGAAGTCCCAGCCAAAGCTGAATCTTGTCCCCACTCCCTGAGTTACTCACTGCATGAATCTGGGAAGGTGGGCTGAGGAGTAGGGGTCAGGAAGCAACTCCCCCACAAGAGTGGACCCAAACTTTGTCCGGGGCGGGGGAGGTGGGAGGGAAACACGCCCTCAAACCAACCAAACAGTGCAGGGGTGCCCTCTGGTGGTGACCCTCGGGGAACTCCCCTGCCTCAGGCGAAGCCCTGGTGGCCAGCGACTTGGGAAGCACAATAGCAGGAGGCACAGACCCGACAGTGGTTCTCTGAGAGCTGAAACACCCTGGAGCGCGCCGGAGCTCACAGCAGAAGCGGCGCCCAGGGTGGGAGGCTCCAACCCCAGCGAGGCACGTCCGAAGCCCAAACCTGAGGGGCTCAGTGACAGGATGGGGAACAGAGGGGGTCCCTGAGGCTTAGTTCCCCCCGCCCCCTCCCAGGAAGTCTAACCCAGCCTCGAGAGAGCAGCGGGGGAAGGAGGGCAGCAGATTCTAGGGAAGGGGGCAGGTGATATTAAATATGTCATAAATAGGGAGGATGGGGCCGGCTAATACTGCGCCGACAGGCTGGGGTCACATTCCTCTTGTCCAGCTGGGGACTGGGCCTCGGCCCTGCTCCCAGCGATGCACTGGCCCCTGAGGTCACCGCTGCCAGTGGTCACTGGTGCTGTTGGGGAGGAGATGGGCAGCAAGGACGCCACCTGGGATCCCCTGCAGTCTCAAAGTCCGGGGTCTCGAGGAGCACTGGCCCCGCGGTTCACGGCTTCTTGGCCTTGCTTCTGTTCTGCTGGAGTTTGGTGTGCACGACTTTGAGTGTGGTCAGGAAGTTGCCGAGGAAAAGGACGAGGAACGTCAGCGCCAACACGAACACCTGGGGGGGCGGTGCATAGGAGGTGGCGCCCCGGGGTTGGGGAGGCAGGCAGAGAACAGAAGGGAGAGAAGGCAGAGGCCAGCACACGCTCAGGTCAGCTCTCCTTGTTGAAATAACAGCTGCCCCCCGCAACCCCACACACACACCAGTGCCCCCTGGGACCTCAGAAGCCCTAAGCACAAGCTCCCTGAGAACTGCAAGGTTTGCCAGCAGAATGCAGGGATCTGAGCCAGCTGGGTGAGAGGTGTAAGTCCTCTGGGTCAGGCAGTGTCCTAGGGGGCTCCCCCCTTGCTGCCCGACCCCCAGCGCAAACCTCCTTGGTGTTTCTCAGACCTCTGAGGAGCTCCCAGGGACACCCAGATTTCCTGCCCCAGTCTCCTAGGCGTCCAGAGCAGTGAGCTGTCTACTGCAGGTCCCCACAGAGCAGGGGGGGCCCGGGGAAGGAATTCTCCCCAAGCAGCTCCAACCTTCCCCAGGACACACACACAACACACACGTGTGAGCACCATACCTGCCATTCTCTGCATTCCTCGTGGCTGGAGAGCTCAAACAATGTGACGGCATTGTAGAGCTGCCAGAACTGGAGAGGGGAAGCAGACACTGCTCAGCTCACCCAAGTCCCCTTGAGACCCAGGTGGGAAAGCCCAGGGGGCAGGGGCAAGCCCCCTAGCTTCTGCTGTTAACTGCCCCTGAGATACTGACAACCCCCTCCAAATGAAACTGAGGCACCCAGCCTGGTGTGGGGCATGCAGGTGCCCAGGGCCAATTCCAGCTCCTGCCTTTGGCCTTCCTGGACCCAGGGGCTGTCCCAGCCACAGGACCCCAAGGGCCCCAGCTCATGGATGATTGGTAAGAGAGGGAGAGGACTTAGGACCTTCTATTCCTGGGAGGGGGTACCCACAAACTCCAGGGGGACTCACATGGCCACAGAACAGGAAGGGCAGAAGGAAAGTGAGGCCTCGCCACATCCAGGACTGAAATCCTTCTGTGGAGAGGAAGGAGGGAGCGAAGGGCCTAGGTGAGGTGGTGCGGCCCTGCCAGTCACTGCGATCAGGCAGGTTCACCTCTTCCAGGTGGGTGAGTGCTCACTTGGAAAATAACCCAGGGAACACGCGGAATAACTGCCACCAGGCCTGGTGGCCCTCACGCCTCATGTCCGTGTGACCCAAGTGGGCTGACCACTCTTACAGGACACTGACATGCCAGCACTAGGCTTTTCAAAATTTGCAGAGGATTTTGCATTTCATAACTGGCTTTGGCATGCTTCATTTCAATCGAGTCTTGACAAAATAGGGCCTACTGTGCAGAATAATTTGATGGAAATGACCACTTCAAAAGACAGAAGATTTTTATTAACAACACGTTCCCCTGAAAGTTTAAAGGAAGGGTCTCTGGGTTTTCCTGATGGAGCACCCACCCCAATGAGTTAAAGTTAAGAACACATAAATTGCACAAGTGTAAAAACCCTAGACTAGACTAACATTATGTATGTCATAAAACAGACAAAAAAAAAATAGACTTTAAAAAGGATAAGCTACAGGCGCTCAGCCTCCAGGGCCTGGCACACAGCTGGCCTTGCGTTTGTCAACTGCAAAGGAATCCATAATGAATTACAAAAAGCAACTGGGATGAGGCCAGCAAGCCCTGGCTTTGCATGTGGCAGGTCCTGTCAGGTTCTTACCGGCACCTGGTCCCTGTGACAAATGCGGGGCAGAGTCTGGGGGGACAGAGACGGTCAGTGCTTATCACCCCGCCGACCAGGCCAGGCTACTCACCCACAGTGAGGTCCAGGTGATTCCTCTCCCCCAGGGCCCGCAGTCGGTAGAGGCAGCCTCTCTGGTAATAATATTGCAGGAACTGGACACAGCCTGTAGGGGGAGCACAGCGCCTAGCTCAGGGACTTGGGGACCCAGCAACACCTCCACTGCAGGCTGGCAGGTCTCCACTGCCCAGAGACCAGGGGCGCCTGGGTACAACCTCCTCCCACCCCCAACACACACTGCACCATAGCACACCACACCACACCATACCACACCCACACACACGTCTGAACCTAAAAATGAAAAGGCAGACCATGCCACGCCATGCCACACCACACACACACACGTCTGAACCTAAAAAACGAGAAGGCAGAATTCTGTGTGTCGACATGGAAAAATACCCATCATAACTGTTAAAAGAATAGAAACTAGGTTATAAAAAAAAGCTATGTAGAAGAATCCTATGTTTGTAGATTATATGTAATACAGCATTATAGGTGTGTTTGTGTGTTTATGAATGAAAATATCTGGAAGGACACATATCTATTAACACTCTAAGGATGGAATTATACATAATTTTCCTTCTTGGCTTATGTTTGTAAGCAGGGTTTTATTTTAAAATTAAATTGTATTTTTTTTGAATAGGTAAGATGTATTCAGCATAAAATTCAAGGGGAACAAACAGGTACTTGATGAAAAGTAAAACTCTCTCCCTGTCTTTAACCATCCAATTTCTGTTCCTCAGAGGTAACCCCTCATTGTGTACAAATCCGGAGCGATTCTTAAATAAAACAAGAAAAAGAACATAAATGTCCATTTTAAGGGAAACAGAGTTGATGCTCCCAACACCACCCAGTTCCTGAAGGGCACAGCTGGTCAGATTCTGAACTGGGGGAGAAAAAGGTAGTGATTGGAGTTCCAGGGGTTGAACATTCCTCTCCAGGGGCTGGGGGCTGGAGAGCAGCATGGGGCTGATGGAGTGGTGGGGAGAGAGCGGACAGCTCCTTCTGGATTTCTGGGACCCTTCCCTGCCTGACTAGGGACCTCCCCAAGTCTCATCTCCGTTTCACACAAGACACACTCTTCACACAACCATCTCCACCAGTGAAAGCCACACCATGCCCCTCCCCAGAATCCGAACAAGAGACACTCACTCTGAAAAATGGAGAATGCTAAAAACTGATTGCGAAACTTCTGATAAATTAGTCCGTTAGGCCTGCAGAGAAGTGGGGGGAAAGCAAAGGTGAGGCTCCAATCTGAAATCATTTGTTCATCCCCATCCCATCTCTGTTCCAACCAAAAGAGACAGAGAGAAAAAAAAAAGATTTTAAACCAAATTTCTACTTTCTTTATCATCATGTCCCTGGGGCTGGACCAGGTAATTTCCATCATTGCTTTAATCCATTCTAGAACCAAGGGAGCTGGGGTAGGCATCTTGAAGACCAAACGCCCACCGTTTCCTCCTCCCTCCATCAGTCACAGTCTTGTCCCTGTGCTTGTTCTGTCCACACTTGCTCCCTGTCACCGCAGTCAGCAGCCCTTGGAAAAGTCCCCAGCTGGCTTGGGGTGGCCCTGCAGCCCCTTTGTAAGCTCACACTTTTACTTCTCGGACCAAACGTCAGCCCCCAAATCCCCTGCATCTTGGGCCCACTGCCAGTCCCCATCCACTGGCTCCCTGCGGAGAGTGAGCAGAAGTCCTGGGGCTCAAGCAGGAGACACTCACCAGGTCAGCATCACTCCAGACAGGAACGTGGACACGTAGTGGTGAGACACCCACCAGCCTTTAATTCTTGAGAGAAGAGAAGGAAAAGAGCTCAGGTGGGGAGAGAAAGCAAGCTTCCCAGCCTGTGTCAGGGGAGAGGAGTGGTCTGCAACCCAGAGACAACTTCTTGGAGCAAGAAATTAACCCAAGCCAGGACTTTTGCCCTCTGTCCTATGAGATACACAGTCACACAGAGACCCAGAGAGGCACTCGGGCCCCCAGCAGCTCCCCAGTACCCTCAGAACACCTCCCTAGCATCCCCAGTACTCCAAGACCCGCCTCTCTGCCCCTCCTCACCCCCACTCTCAGAAGCTCCAGGTAGCCTTTTCCTTGAACCTGCAAAACCCATGGCTACCTCAGGGCCTGTGGCTGAATGGTGTTCCCCTCAAATTCCTATGTTGAAGACCTCTAACCCCAGTACCTTAAAATGTGACTATATTTGGAAAGAGGACTTTTAAAGAGATAATGAAGGTTAAATTATGTCATAAGGGTGGAGCCCTAATATGATAGGCTTGGTGTCCTTAGGAGCAGAGGAAGAGACTGGAGCGGAGTGCATGCACACAGAGAAAAGGCCCTGGGAGGAGGCAGGAGTGGTCTGCAAGCCAAGGCGCGAGCTCAGCGGAAAGCTGCCAGCACCCTGATCTTGAACTTATAGCCTCCAGACTGTAAGACAATGCATTTCTGTGGTTTAGGTCCCCTAGTCTGTGGTATTTTGTTATGGCAGCCTGAGCAGACTAATTGGGGCTTCAAACTTGCCATTCTCTCTGCTCCAAGATCTTGGCCAGCCTGGCTCCTGGTCCAAATTCAAGTTTTCGGACCAATGGTCACCTCCTCCAAGAGGCCTTCCCTGACCCCCTTATCTGAAACAGCTAGACAGCCCCGCTCTGGATCACGTTACCCTGCTTTATTTTCTTCACGGTGCTTATCACTATCTAAAATTATCATTCTTTCCTCATTCGTTTCTGAACCCCCTTCCCCACTCAAAAGAGCAGATATACTGTCTGTTCATCTGTATCATGACACCTGGCTTACAGCGGTGCTCAACAAGCATGCTGAATAAACACAGAACACTCGCACATGTTTACACAGAGCTGTAGCTGTCTACGTTAACCTATACAGAGGAACCACAGACTGTACACGAAGTGCCTCGCTCCATCCCAGACACAGCTGCTCTCTGGGGGCGCCAGGCTCATCTGCTCCTCTGTCTACAGCACTCATCCAGTCCACAAGCTGCCGGGACCCCGTGGTCAGTATCCAGCTCTGGGACTTCCCTGGTGGTCCCATGGCCCATTCCTCACTCCCAAAGCCAGGGGCTCCTGTTGGATCCGTGGTCTGGGAACTAGATCCCACGTGGCACAGCTGAGAGTTTGCCTGCTGCAACTAAAGATGCCCCATGGCAAAATGAAGACTGAAGATCGCACGTGCTGCAACTAAGACCAAGGGCAGCCAAATAAAGAAGAAGAACCCAGCGCTCCCCTGGCTCAGCACTATCACTCCAGACAGGGGCAGGGAGCCTGGCTGTCACCCTCTCTCCCGTGTCACAGGCAGTCTTTATTCTTCGAGGTCCCAGAGTGTGTCTGAGGCCTCTGCCGGCCTCCCTAGCCCTTCTCCAGGAGTTCAGTGATTAGAACACGAGGAGGCAGCAATCTGCTTTCCCAGATGCACCCTGGGACACCAGGGACTGCGTCATGGGAAGCAGCCATGCGGGAGAAGCAGTTAATCTTCATCTTTCCAGAACTCTCTCTCGGGAGACAACTGGAGTCGGGGCCAAGTGGGGAGATGGGCTCCAAATGGAGGCACCTGAGGATCTGCTGGTTCGGGGGATGAGCTGATGGATTAGATACTTTTCTTTCTTTCTTTAAATTGTTTTGGGCCGAGCCATGCAGCACGTGGGACCTTAGTTCCCCGACCAGGGATCAAATCCCTGTTCCCCTACATTGCATGCTCAGAGTCTTAACCATTGGACCACAAGGAAGTCCCCTCTTTTAAAATTTATTTATTCCACTGCATCAGACCTTAGCTGTGGCATGTGGGATTCTAGTTCCCTGACCAGGACCGAACCTGGGCCCCCTGCATTGGGAGTATGGCATCTTGGTCAGGGAAGTTCCAAGAAGTCCCTTTTATTAAATTAAAAAAATAAAATTTTTACTAAAAATTAACTAAAATCATCCTACGACTTGCTTCCTTGTCTTGACTCCAGGCCTGTATCTACAGACCTGCCACTGACTTCTTAAACGTGACATGACATTTCAGGATGTGTCTGCTCTGCCGTAGTCTACTCAGCCATTCCTGAACTGTCCCTGTCATCCTTCATGTTGCCAAAACATCCTGTGGAAGTCCCCTGTGTCATGACGCCGTTTCTCCATGGAGGCTACCAGGAAGTAAGTATGCAGGACGGCTGGCTCAGAGGGCACGTGTGTAGTTATTTCTCAAATTACCTTCCAAAACAGCGATTCCCAATTTACACTCCCATCGGCAGTAGAGACTATCGAGTTCCCCAAACCCTCACCAACACGGAATACCTAATTTTAAAATTTCTCCCAATCTCATGTGAAAACTGGTGTGTCATTGAGATTTTTGTTTTCACTGTCCTAATAAGTGGATTTGTCTCAAAACCTTCCCCTGGACATAAACACTGTAAGAGCAGGGACAGCATCTTACTCTTCTCTTTGTAGCCCTTCAATGTGTGTGTGTGTGCACTCAGTCACTTGGTCCTGTCTGACTCTGCGACCCCGTGCACTGTAGCCCACCAGGCTCCTCTGTCCATGGGATTTCCCAGGCAAGAGTACTGGAGTGGGTTGCCATTTCCTTCTCCAGGGGGTCTTCCCAACCCAGGGATTGAATTCTCATTTCTTGTGTGTCCTGCACTGGCAGGCAGATTCTTTACCACTGAGCCATCTGGGAAGCCCTTCAATAGTTCTGGGAGGGAAGGAAGGAAGGGAAGGAGAAAAGGAAAAGAAAGAAAGAAAGAAGAAAATTAATGAAAGAGACTTCCCTGGCAGCCTAGGGGTTAAGACTCTACACTTCCAATGCAGGGACTGTGGGTTTAATCCCTGGTCAGGAACTAAGATCCCACGTGCCGCACGATACAGCCACAAAAAAATGTCTGATCATAAATTAGGTGTTTGGGCAACAGCCTGTGGATGCTTGAGTGGCTATGAGGAGAAACAAGGTTTTAGGAGGCTTTTTATTCCTAGCACTAACAGCACCTGGTAAACAGTAGGTACTCAATAAATGCTGAAATGGAAAAAGTGATGTCCAGGAAGTGCAGCTAGTATAGATGCCACCAGGACAGACTAGACAGGAGACTGATGCAGGTGCCACGTGAGTTCACGGGACAGGATGGGACATCTGTCCACTTGCTGGTTCCCAATCTCCCTTCCCCGTGTCCCTGCCCTGCCTGTCAGGGTCTCTGAGGAACCTTGGTTTCTGACCCAGAAGATAACTGGCCCTATCCTTAGACCTTCATCTTGAAGAGCAACCAACAAGTCTCTGTAAGCCCTGGAGGCCTGGCAAGCCCCCTGTCCTCTGTCCTACCTACCAATGGTCCCTAGAGAAATACCCGCTCCCTGTCCAGGAGGGGCCGGAGCCAGACACAGGCTCCCGGCAGCAAGCCTGGCTGAGCAGAAGCTTCCAATTTCACAGTTCACTGTGCCCACAGCCCAGAACTGACAGACGCCACCAATAAACACAGCTCAGCGGCACTGGGAGAGGCTAAAAATGTCCTCTTTCCCAGCGTGCATTCGCCAGCCCCATTGTCTGTCTGCACACCCCAGGGCTCTGGACTGGTGCTCCACACATATGAGTGTGCATGTGTGTGTTTATATAATAGTTTTATTGTGATGTCAGTCGGACACCATACAATTCACCCATTTAAAGTATACAAGTCAGTGTACTCACAGAGTTGTGCAAACATGACCACAGTCAGTTTTACGACATTTGTACCGCTCCAGAAAGAGACCTTCACCCTTTAGCAGTCTATCTCTAAGGTCCGTTTTCCCCCAGAAACGGAGCCTGCAGGAGCTTGTGGCCTTTTAAATGAGCAGACAGTAGGTACGCCAGGAAGGCCGGCACATTGCATAGCCCGAATGTAGTACGAACAGCATGTTCTGCTATCTGGGGATTGTGCCTGGAGAGCTCCCTATAGGACACCTTAGCGTAAGATCCAGGCACCAGTCACTAGTCAACACCTGGCTCTCTCTGGCTTTGAGCTTCAGGTCATCTGGGCAGCTCCGGGAATGGCTTCTATACCAAGGCTCCCTCTCTCCTCTGCCACCCTTACCCCTCTGTATCCTAGGAAAGGCCCTTACAAAAACCAATTCGTTCTGGGCACTGGTGGGCTGGCGTTCCAGAAAAGGCAAAGTGATTTCTGATTCATTATTTATTCTATCCCGGAACCACTGCAGAGGACATCTGCTGTTTTGTCTGTTAACCACTCCCGTTCTGGTTCTCCCCTTTGTCTTTCTTTGGAGGAACTACCTCACCCCCCCTAGTCAGTCTGGGTGGTGGAGCTAAGATAACTGGGCACATGACCCAGAGTCAGCCAATGGAGATGCTAAATCACTGCAGCCACGGTGATTGGTTCAGGGATGAGCATGTGACCTGAGCCTGGCCAATTAGAAGTCTGACTCAAGACTGCCCCTGGACTAGTAGAGGAAAGATGCTCTTTCCTCTGGGATTGCTGATCCCTATAGGGTGCTGGCCTGGGCTGCTGGGAGCTAGTGCAGAAGGTAGCAGGAAAGGAAAAGGGAGAAGGAGGAGGGCTGTTAAATTAACATTGTTTGAGCACTCTGGACCTCCCTGAACTATTTATATGTTCCAGTAAATACCCCTTCATGTTTATTCCTATCAGGTGGTTTTCCATCATTTCCAAAATCTGGAAGGGAAGTTGACTTACTTATGGCTCTAACTGAGCTAAGGAGCTACATCTCACATGGGAAACATCAGACATAAACCACAGGTAGCTCCATCCCATGATGCGGGTGTTCCCCCTACACACCCACCTCTCTAAGCCTGCTTCCCCCCAACACAACCCTAATTCAGGTCTTGGATGCAACTGGAAACAGGATAAAAGAGGTTCAATCAGACCAAAACTGGGCAGCAAGCCTCCAGGAAGTCTATCTGGCTCAGGTTCAACTGTCTCTTCAACACCAAGATGACCCCAGTGAACTTCCTTCACTACAGAGCTTGGGTTCAGTTCATTTCTACACAGACCCTGGGGCATTCACTGGATACCCACTGTGAGCTCCAGAGCTGGCCGTGGGACACTTCAGAGAAAGGCAGCCTTCATCCCAAACTGGACCCCTGCCTCCTTCTTCACTCTGCTTTCTTGAACTGATTTCTTAGCTATTCCCTAATAAGGGCCAAGTGTGAGGGGAACCTCACAGGCATCTCCCGGGCCCACCCCCAGGAGAAAAATCAGCTCTGAGAAGGAGCGGGGGGAGGTTGGAGGCTAACTATTCAACAGATGTCGAGGAAAAGTCACAAGTTTTAATCACCCAGCTTTGGTCCACCTGCCATGCCTCCCTCTCCCACAAGTTGACCACAACTCCTGTAGTCATTCCAGAAAATAAGACATCCGTACAGGCCCACCCCACTCTTCCCATGGTCCCCACTACCAACACATCCAAATCTGTGCTGAAGGCCAGACTGGGGATGCAGGCCTGGGGGAGTGTGATTCCTGAAGCAACTTGACCTTCCTGAAGCATACTTGCCAAGAATGGTCTTTTAAAGAACCACTATGAGTGCTCCCAAAAGGCTCCACGTGGGAGCTATCTTGGAGCTAGCTCAGTGTCTGGTACTTAAAAGTTGCTCAATAAAAGTGTAATGTGGACTTCCTGGTGGTCCAGTGGTTAGGACTCCGCACTTCCACTGCAGGGGGCACAGGTTTGGTCCCTGGTCAAGGAACTAAGATCCTGCATGCTGTGTGGCATAGCAAAATAAAATAAAATGTAAAATACATAAAATAAACATGTAATAAGTGGCAGGTCGGGGACAGATTGGACCACACACAAAGCTTTGCATTACCAGCTCAGTGACAGCCCTTCCTGTTGTCCCATCAGAGCACAAGCCCTAGGGAGGCCCCAGAGAAGGTCCCACTAAGGTGTCAGGCAAGTGAGGTGGCTCTGGAACCCTACTTTCCCCCTTTAGTCCTCCTCCCTGTTTTCTGGGTGTGCTTCACACTTACAGGGACCTCGACTCAGACCTGTTCCCTTCTCTCGGGGAACCCCCCACCCACAGTTTGTCATATAAGAAAAAGGGGACAAGAGTAACTCTTATTAAAGTGTTAGTGACTGTTAGAGATGTAGCATGCCCCCGAACACTCTTAATATGAGTCTATCAGGAGGAGGAAACTCCCAATACCAAGCCCAGGGGAGCACAAAGAGAATTAGTAACAAGAAAGCTTGGCCCATTGCCCTGGGCCCATTTCCCCACTATGTACTACCCTGGGTCCCCTCCAACCATGCCCAAAAGCAGGAAGATACAATCACTAAAATTAAGGAAAACTACAAATGTTATTGATTTGGTAGGATTTTCTACTTCAGTGTTTCCCAAAGCATGGGGCATGTACCACCAAGTTTTAGATGCTATCTGAGTGTAATGCTAGATGATACTGAATCACGTGGTGAGAAGTCATCAGTCCTGTTCTTTCCATTCTCCTGATTAAGTCAAGAGACAATCTTGGTTAAATACCAGGACATCTTTAATATACAAAATCCCCTGCTCTTGGGCTTCCCAGGTGGTTCAGATGGTAAAGAATCTGCCTGCAATGCAGAAGACCCAGGTTCAATCCCTGGATTGGGAAGATTTCCTGGAGAAGGGAATGGCAACCCACTCCAGTATTCTTGCCTGGAGAATGCCATGACAGAGGAGCCTGGTGGGCTGTAGTCCATGGGGTGACAAAGAGTCGGACACAACTGAGCAATTAACACATATATACATACATAGAGATCTGCTCATCTCCCTTTTTACACATGTACACACACTTTAGAGAGATAGCAGGCCTCAGGCTCAGAGCCTTCAGGAAGCAGGAATCATTGACTTCAATAAATTAGACAATGAAAATGAAATTCTATTTTTACACTATTTCCTCTTTCCTGCAATTGATGCTGGTTTTCCACGTAAGGTGGTGAAATAAAAGTTTCCTTTTAAAATAAATTCACATTTAGTGCTCACTTCGGCAGCACATGTACTAAAATAAATTCACATTTATTTAATTAAAAAGAAAAAAGAAAAACAAAAAGAGGTGGATTTAAATTGTGAAAAAACTATCACCCAGGTGATGCTGGACACGGTAAAGGCTGAGTGCAGTTTGAGAAACACTGATCTTTTCTAAAGGGCTGCATGCTAAAACAGGACTGCATACCTAAGAATAGCTGATTCCCCTGGTCCTTACCTCTCAGCTCTATGTTCAGGGTAAGGCCCAGCAGGGCAGGGATATGCCATGAGAGACCACTGGCAGAGAAGTGAGAAGGTAGCAAATTATTTGGGGGTTTGGCAAACACCCCAATCTTAAATACACAGCTCCTGGCCATCCCTTACCAGCCCCCAGGAAGAAGGAAGTGGGGAGGGTTCAAGAGGTTGTTACTTTTTGTTTCAGGAAAAACAGGGACAAGAATGGTATGCAGGGGTTCAAATGGACACCCTAAAAAGGCATCAGACCTATGGGAAATGGGTCCTACAAGTGGCAAGTCGTGGGTCTTAACTCAGTCCTGATACTCTAATCTCTCTTTCAGGGACTTTCCACTTTTCTCACCAGAATCCATTCAACCTTCTGGTGACAGTAATCTAACCTTCCTCTCCTGACACTCAGCTTTGAGGTGTTGGTTGACAGCCCTGGGGGTGGACACAAGGCTCAGAGCAGTACAGTCTCTGGCCACAGCGATCGGTTCAGAGATAATCAGTGAGTGCCAACAGGACCCAGTAAGACTCCTGGGAGAGAGGAACATGCCTTATTTTGCTGGGAATGCTAGAAACGAAGATGTGAGCCTGGAGCTGCTGGTGCTCCTCCCTGAAACCTGAGACTAAAAGAACACAGCAGAAGGTATGGTTGAGAGATAGAGAGAAACTGGGTCCTGATGACACTGTCTGAATGCCTGGATTAAGCCTTACCTGAACTCAGCGCTAATGGACCCATTCCTTGATATGAGAAAATAAATTTCTTATTGTGTTAAACTCATTTATTTGAGTTAGGGTTTCTTGTAAGCAAGAGACTGACCATTGCAAGTGAAGTTGCAGCAGCAGACACCGTTTTCCTCCTCCCTGGTTCTCAACAGTCATGAATACTCCACCCCACAAGGAGGAAGGGGGTGCAAGGTGAGGCTGAGAGCTCTCACCTCCATGACAGATTTCCCTCTGGCTCCCCTGTACCACCCCACAAAGCTGGGCCCCCCCCCCCCGTTACCTCGAGCCGTTGCTGATAAGAATGCTCTCCCGAATTGTCAGGGTGCAGTAATACCATACGAGCAGGAAGTTAAAGACTTCATCTGTCACCCTGGCATAGAGAAACAGCCCCAGGGAGGGGTACAGACATGAGAAACCAGGGACAGCTGTCCCCCCACCCCACCCCACCCCCGGCACACGCACAACTGAACAGCAAACCAGGACAAGTCCCCATAGAAGGAATGACATTTGAGTAGGGCCTTGAAAGTTCAATATATGGAAATGTGCTTTCCTGAGTGTTGGTAATAACTAAATTTGGCTGTACAAATGGATAATTGTATCTATTATGCTCACTTACATTGTTCCATTTTTTATTTTGTAGACAATTATAGTGTAAATGCTACAGGTTGCAATACTCTGTGAGAGTCAAGCCTCCCTTAACTGACAGCAGTTGGAGGATAAATACTGCCCATTCCCTCACCCCCTGAGGGGGAATAACTGAAGCCCGTCCATTGCTGCTCCCTACTCCCCAGCAGCACTGAACTCCAGGTGCCCACAGGATAACCTACTTGTCTTACTTCCATTCCCCTACCAGTGTTTCCTGGGATCACCTCCTGAATAAATTACTGGCAATCAAATGCTTGTCTTGGGGGATTTCTTCTGGGGGAACCCAAACAAAGACAGTATTACTTTCCATTTCCGAAATTCAAAGACACATGCTCCTTGGAAGAAAAGATATGACAAACCTAGAGAGTGTATTAAAAAGCAAAGACATAACTTTGCCAACAAAGGTCAATCTAGTCAAAGCTATGGTTTTTCTAGTAGTCATGTTCGGATGTGAGAGTTGGACCATAAAGAAGGCTGAGAGCCGAAGAATTGATGCTTTTGAATTTTGGTGCTGGTGAAGACTCTTGAGAGTCCCTTGGACAGTAAGGAGATCAAACCAGTCAACCCTAAAGGAAACCAACCCTGAATTGGAAGGACAGATGCTGAAGCTCCAATATTCTGGCCATCTGATGTGAAGAGCTGACTCACTGGAAAACACCCTGATGCTGGGAAAGATTGAGGGCAAGAGGAGAAGGGGGCATCAGAGGATGAGATGGTTGGATGGCATCACTGACGCAATGGACATGACTTTGAGCAAGCTCCAGGAGATAGGGAAGAACAAGGAAGCCTGGCATGCTGCAGTGCATGGGGTCTCAAAGGGTCAGACGACTTAGCGACTATAAACAACAACTTCCCATTTTACAGATGAGGAAATTAGGTTCAGAGATGTGCTGACTATCCAGCTCCCCACCCTTGCCCTTTTTTAAGCCATTGAAGGTGTAGTCAGCTAAACAGTGTTCCCCCCGGCTCAAATTCAAATCCACCCAGAACCTCAGAATATGACTTGATTTGGAAACAGGGTCTTTGTAAATATAATTAGTGAAGATGAGGAGATAATGGGTTACGGTGGACCCTAAACCCACAGACTGTGCCCCTATAAGAAGGTCAGGAGAGAGATACAGGGCCACAGGGCAGATGGCCATATAATGACAGACTAGAGCGAAACAGCCTTAAGCCAAGGAAATGCCAAGAATGGCCAGCCACTACCAGCAGCTGGGAGAGGCAAAGAAGGCTCCTCCTCTAGTCTTTAGAGTGAGCGTGGTCCTGCCAACCATGATTCCAACCTTGATTTCAGATTTCTGGCCTCCACAACTATGAGAAAATACACTTCTATTGTTCTAAGCCACCCAGCTTGTGGTGCCTTGTTACGACAGCCCCAGGAAATGAATACAGAAAGGGATGGGAGACACGGTGATGCCAGGCCCTCAGTGAGCCTGAGCACTCAACTGCACACCACAGATTTGTCCTCTGAGGGCCCCAGAGGTTCCAACACCAGGAAATCTGGTTGCACGTCAAGAACTTCTGCCCCCTTTCCGGGGGCACGTGAGTGGGCATGACTGACATGAGCAGCCTCTGCCCTCCAGGGAAGCGGCCCAGGCCCAAGGCAGCAGGCGGGCACGGGCTCAGGGCCTGAAAGAACCTTTGTTTGGACACTCAAGTGGGCAGCCCAGCAACTGGACTCCCAGCCAAGCGCCTGCCAGGAAATAAACCCTTGACACGTGAGCCAAATGCCCAAGCCACACTTGGCCGCCTCCCCTCAGGGCAGGAAACCCAGGGCCAGAGCAGGGGGAAAGAAAACCCCCTGGGGGACCATGGCTTCGGCTCACCTCCCTTGTCCCACTCAAATGGAGCAGCTGACCCTCTGGACTGTGCCACTGGGTGCCAAGCGCTGGGCACAGCCACGTGCGATGTTATTGCGCTCAGCTGTCACAACACCCCAGTGAGGCAGGGCCTGGTGCCACCCGCATTTTACAGCGGGGGAGACTGAAGCACCCAGAGGCAACCTGCCCATCCGACAGCCAGGAGGTCTCGAAGACAGGATTCGGACCCAGGAAGTCTGTGGTCTATCTCTTTTTCTTTCCTTCCTTCCTTCCTCTTTTTTGCTCCCCATCCTACCCCCTACCACCTTTACTTCTGTAACTGAGATACAATCCATATACCATAGAATTCACCTTTTTCAAGGATACAAGTCAGTGTGTTTTCAGGATATTCACCAAGTTGTGCATCCATCATCACTAATTCCAGAACATTCTCACCACTCAAAAAAAAAAAAAAAAAAAAAAACCCACACCTGTGGCCCTTAGCAGTCACTCCCTATTTGCCTCCCCACCGCCCCCTGGCAACACTAATCTGTTTTCTGTCTCTATAGTCTTTGCCTTTTCTGGACATTTCATATGAATGGGATCATACAGTAAGTAACCTTTTGCCTCTGGGCTCTTTCACTCAGCACCATGTTTTCAGGGTTCATCCATGTTATAGAATGTGTCAGTACTTCAGTCCTTTTTGTGGCCAAATAATATTCCATTGCATGGATGGACCACACTGGGCTCCTTCTTAGCTACTACGTTATAAGGCCTTTCTAGCAACCATTTAGTAGATATTTGTTGGATGGCTGTAAGGCAGACAGAACTCTATTTCCCGTAAGAAATGGTCCTTCTCTACCCTATACCTCATCACACCAAATGCTGGAGAAGCAAGAGAAACCCTGGATCGTTCTCTCATGGCCCTCCTCCTTCACCCCTGCACACACACCACCACACCCCATCACCTGTAGTGAAGGAAAAATCGACACGCCACAGCACCCAGGAGCAGGATGATGGTCAGGTAGAGCTTGAACTTCTCATACTCATCCTTGTAGGCAAATCTGCAGCGACAGACACCCCCAGGAAAGGTCACATCAGTATAACCCATCACCCCACCGGATCCCTGACCTGCTAGATCAAACTAAGGGAGAGATTTCGAATTAATGGTGATGATCAATAGGGAAAGAGGGCCAGTGTGCAAAGCTTCTTTTGTCCCTGGACTCCTGGGTTTAAGGTTTCGAGCCTGTGATGGGCAGGGAGCTGCGACAGGGTCTCCTCCTCAACCACCTACAGAAGTGGAAAAGCCACAGCTCCATTTTCCCTGGAAATGGGATAGATCTGGGTTAGCCAGGACTGCCTATGCCCCAGGAGGAATGTGTGTGATAAGGCGTGGAATGCGACAAGCGGCCATTTCTCATGGGAAATTGGCGGTCCAGTCCATACCACATACTGACTCTGTGAAAGGAAGGAAGGAAACCTCCCCCATGTGGTCTAAGGAAGAGACCGTCGGAAAGACCAAAGCCAGAGTCCCAGCTATGAACTTTTTTTTTTTTTAATGCAAAAACACTAGCTTGGTCCCATCTCTCTTAAGCTGAAAGAGCAAAATGCCCGGATTCCATAAAGTCAGGTGGAGGGGTGTCTGGGATACTCACTTGGCCTGGTTGCTGAGAAGAGTCACGTTCACATTGCCAAGAACCAGATTCAAGTAGAGCCTGAAAGGAAAGACCTATGAGGGTCACCATTTTAACAACCCCAGGAGTGGTCCCCAGCCCAAAATATTCAAAATTAATAAGCAGGGCAAGCACTTCCCAGGTGGCCCAGTGGTAAAGGACCCACTGCCAATACAGGAAACGGGGGCTCAATCCCTGGGGCAGGAGGATCCCCTGGAAGAGGAAATGGCAACCCACTCCAGTATTCTGGCCTGGGGAATCCCATGGACAGAGGAGCCTGGCGGGCTACAGTCCACGGGGTCACAGAGTCAGACACGACTGAGCATGCATGCACAGCAAGCATGGCACTGAGCACCGGATGTTATAAAATGAGGTGCTAAGCTCAACGGCAAAGTTCTCACATCATATGAGAATGAAAACGATTAACTAGAGAACATGGCAACTGTCAGGACCGTCACGATCAACCCATTTCTCCCCATTTTAGCTGGCTTACAGACCATGTTTCCCAGCCTCCCCTGCCACTAAATATTTTTAAAAATAAAATAAAAAATAATCTTTTATGTTTGTTGGGCAATTGATATTCTGCTACCATCAGCCAATACTGTTTAATATTTACATTGTTTGTATAACTAATGAAGTAAATCTTATTAGTTTAGTACATTAGATGCCTCTCAGTATTTAACTGTTAATTGCAAACTTATTTAATCAAAATTTATCTTGAATATTTAATTAAAGTTAACTAACAGTCTTGTTAAAAAAAAATAAAAAATAAAAAAAAATGAAGTATACAGCTTAGTGGTGATTATTTTGTAATATACAGAAATATCAAATTGCTATGTATACCTCAATCTGAAAAATAAATAAAATGATAAGGTGAGCTTATAAAAAATGTTTACATTAAAAACAAATTATACAATTTAATGGTTTCAAGTATACTTAACAACAGTGTACAAACATCAGTGTCACCTAATCCCAGAACATGAAATTTCAACAACCCAAGAAGTCCTTACCCACTAGCAGTCACTCCCTCAGCCCCTGGCAATCACTAATCTACTTTCTGTTTCTATGGATTTGTCCATTCTTGACATTTTGTGTAAACAGGCTCATGTGATACGTGGCCTTTTATGTCTGGCTTCCGTGCTGTGAACGTTCAGCACTCATTTCCACTGAGTGTTTATACACCCAGGAGTGGAATTTCTGGGTTGTATGGTATGTATGTGTGGCTTCACTAGGAAATGGCAAACATTTTTGTAAAAAGGGATCTGCTTGCCCTCCACAGCCTGCCTCTTTCCTGCTTGCTGAGACTGCAATGGTGTGACCCAGCTTTGGCTATGCAGATGAGAACAACTCCTAAAGCAGTGGTGAGTAGTAAGTAAGCTGCAAGGACCAAGTTCCTAGGTGACCTCAGGAGCCCAACATTCTTGGCCCACTCACCTCTGGACTGTTATGTGTGAGAGACAAAAGCTTCGCCATGTTTGAGATACTGTGCCATGATGCTTCTGTTACAACAGCCTGTACTCCAACATGCTATGTGCATGCATGCTCAGTCACGTCCAACTCTTTGCAACCCCATGGACTGTGGCCCCTCAAGGCTTCTCTGCCCGTGGGATTTCCCAGGCAAGAATACTGGAGTGGGCAGCCAGTCCCTTCTCCAGGGGATCCTTCCAAACCAGTGTCTCCTGCTGCTCCCGCACTGGCAGGATTCTTTACCACTGAACCACCTGGGAAGCCCCTAACATGCTAATTAATAAAGGTGATAATAAAGGGTTAGGAGGTCTCAGGGAAAGACAAGTTAATTCCACAGAGGGAGAGAGGGGTTTAGAAAGACTTCACTGAGGTAGTAACATGTGAACTGGGCTTTGAAGGATGCATAGAAGTTTGAGAGGAGAAAAGGTAACAGAAAAGCCTTCTTCCAGCTATGGGTAAAATCTAGGGGGACTTCCAATCTTGGGTATCTAGAGCAGAGGTGTCAAAAAACCATCTATTTTTCTCACTTAGCACATATTCCTTACCTCCTGGAAGGGCAATATTATTTCCCTTCAGAGAATCACTTTTCCCCCTACGCCATGACCCAGGTTCCCCCAATCAAAGCGGTGCAACCTCCTGATTGGGTCAATCATGATCATGGAATACAAGCTAGGCCAATGAGAATCAATAAGAGGACTTTTCCCAGAACTCCTACAGAACAAAGAGGCTTTCTGTACTGGATTTGCTAAGCAGGTAGGATGCAAACCCAGAGCTGCTGGGGCCAGCTTGTGGAGGAAGCCTGCCTGAGAATAAAATTCACACACTGCAAAACAGAGTAAAAATAAATAAATAAATAGGGACACAGTTTAACAGCATCCAGTCCTACCTAGAGCTACACCTGGACTTTTTAGTTACATGTGTCAATAACTGCCCTATTATTAATTAAGCAACTTTGAGTTGGGTTTTCTGTCATTTGTATTCCAAGGATTCCTAACTAATGTAAACTGGACAGAGGACTAGGGAGACTGGAGCTGGGAGAGTGAATCTGACTTTAAAAGAAGGTCACGCTGTTTCATTCTGTAGAAAGTTATCACCACCCAAAGCATGGAGTTTTTAACCAAACACAGCCAAAAAGGAGAAGACAAGAGGAAGGCCTCTGGTGTAAGGCTCTGACTCAAGGCTGGGTCAAACCGGGAAGAAAGTCAGGGTGCTTCCTGGGACGTGCATTTAGCCACCCATGTCAAGTCACAATACAACGCTGTAAGGATCTCTCTACAACGAGGTGGCAGAGATGTCACTTGAGGAAGGAGATGGGACTTCTCTGAAGGAGGAAGATGGAAAGAACACAAGCTCTAGAGTCAGAATGTCCAGTGTTCACATCCTGGTTCACCCTAAGCCAGTCTGAGCCCTCAGGGCAAGATACTTCCTAATGCCACTTCTCTGAACCTTTAGAACAGGGATTCCTGGATCTCACTCACCAGGTTGTAGAGGGTGAAATGACTGAAGTCAAGACAGCCCCCCTGCACAATGCCAGGCATACAGTGGGCCCTCAATAGATGTTTGTTCTCTTGAGAGAGAACACATTTCCTCCTGATCCCAGGTGACATCGGGCAGATGGCAGAGGCTGGGAACCAGATCTTTGGTCTGGTTCCTTGAAAAAGCCCTTCCAGGAATGTCGCTGCCACACGGAGGGGCTGAGGTGCCCTCCTGGGTTCATGGAGGGTCATGTAAGGAAGCTTCCTTCCCTTTCCTGCCCTTGTTTCCTCCTCAAGCCCCAGCAGGGAGGTCAGAGGCACGCAGACCAGGTGCTCCAGGCCTGGGCATCTGCACACAGTGTTGGGGGTGTGAGGGCAGGTCCCCAGCTCCTACCCATTCTTCTTGGGCAAGTAGGCCTCCATGTCAAAGAAGACGTTCTGCCGCTCCTTGATGTTGGCACCCATCTGCTGAACGAGCTCCGCTTCCTCCCGACTGGCATGGCGTTTGTACCTGAGGTCAGAGGTGTGGGCATGAGATAAGCGTTACACAGACTGGATGAAGAATCCAGAAGCTCTAGGCACTGCCCCCCATCTTTCCATCTCAATGCTTCTGGCAACCTCAGCTCTCCAGATGTACTCTCTGGGTTTGATGCTGGCTCCCTGCCAGCCTTGGGAAACATCCTTTAACCTCTCTGCTTTATTTTCCACACCTCAAAAACAGGGATAACATCAGACCTACCTTGTAAACGATATCATTGTGACGATACAGTGAGTATATGCAGTGTAAAGCATTTAGAATACCTGACACATAGTATGAGCTCCAGGGATGTCAGCCTGCAATATCACTCTCCACGCTATTCTATACGAATAACCTGAGGGTTATGAAGAGTGCAGGCAGGAAGAAGGCTTTGAAGTATTAGCAGTCGACCAACCAAGGTCTGACTGTTTTTCTTTGGTGAGATTTAATCTCAAAACTAGAAAAACAAGTCATAGTCACAACTCATGGGTCAACTAACCTAACTCATGGGTCAACCTTCCAACCCAATGGTTCTCAACTGGGGAAACTTGGGATGGGAGTTCTTCCCAAACCATGAAGACACTGCCTGGGAACATTCTGGGTTGTCAAGACAGGAGTGTAGAGTTCTACTGGCATCTAGTGACTAGAGGCCAGGGATACTGCCCAACATCCTACAATGCATAGGACAGCCCCCAGGAACAAAGAAGCATCAACAGTGCCAGGAATGAAAAACCCTAGACAGATAAAAGACTGGAGTCCTATCAGTGAGATATGTTTTTCCAAGAGTGGTGATGTCATTATGTGGAACCATCCACACTCTTCACCATGACTAATGGACCTCCATGTCCAGAATCGTCAGTCAAGGTTAGGAGTATAATCAGTAACCATTCCCCAAATTTTCCATGGGGGAAGGGAAGAATCGCTCAGGAATCATAAACTGGAATGGAGGCCCAGCTAAGTGACTAGGGACAAGGCACTCAGAGCCTGTTTTCCTGTATCCCTAGGGGGTCACAGCATCCATTGGACTCCTTCACTTGCAGGGAATGACAGCACTTTCCAAACCATAAAGACATGGGACTAGGAAGTGAACAAGTGATCCTGGCCTTAGGAAATGAACTAGGTTGTAAGCTCAAGTATATCCCCACCAGGCATGCCGGACCTCTCACCCCCTACACCAGAGACCTGGTGGGGTGAACTCCCTTTGCCTGGAGAGAAGGATACTTGCTATTTACCTGCCCGACAGGACTTCTCATAACAACTTTCCTGTGGGAACTATGCCTCATCCTCTTCCCCCTCCCAAGTAGTTCAAGTAGAGCTGTCCCATCCCCCAGGTCCATAAACTGAGCATAGGACCAAGTCTTATATAAGTGTTAGTCACTCAGTCGTGTCCAACTCTTTGCAACCCCATGGACTGTAGTCTGCCAGGCTCTTCTGTCCATGGAATTCTCCAGACAAGAATACTGGAGTGGGTTGCCATTTCCTTCTCCAGGAGATTTTCCTAACCCAGGTCTCCTGAACTGCAGGAAGATTCTTTACCATTTGAGTCACCAGGGAAGCCCCCAAGTCTTATATAAACTGAGTCTCGATGATTGGTTCACAGATGGTCGCATGATCAGCTCCAGCCAATGAGACTCACACCCAGCACTTGTGCTGAAAGACAAGTTCTCATTCTGCTGGGGTGGCCAAGCCAATAGGAAGAAAGGCTAAGAGGATAACAGCCTGGCACTGCTGGTGGCTATCTCAATGACCCTCTCAGCCACAGAGTGAAGCCAATGTAGAGGAAGGCAGAATTGAGAGGAAAAAAACCAAATTCCTAAAAACACCCTTTGACCCCTCTGGATCCAATGATGCTTGAAGTCATTTCTGGTTTTTTTCCATTAAAATTTCCATTCTCGGCTCAAGCTGGTTTTGAGTTCAGATTCTGTCCCTAAAAGCCAGGGGGGCCTCTGAGTTGCAGCCCGCCTACCTCTGGAGTGTGAGTTTCAGGTCCTTCAGTCGGGTCTTCTGCTTGTTGATGGAGCTGCTACACGAAGTCTGGAGTGCATTCAGTTCCTCCAACTTCTGCTTGTAGATCCTGTGAGTTTCCTGAGGGAAAGAAAAGCAGAGTGTGCAGGAGAACATAAAGGGGTTATTTTTCAGTCTGCTTATGTTGGAGTATGTTATTGTTCAGTCACTAAGTCCCATGTCTGACTTGACTTTTTTCAACCCCATGAACTGCAGCACGCCAGGCTTCCCTGTCCTTCATTATATCCCAGAGTTTGCTCAAATTCATTCAGTGATGCTACCGTGTCATCTTCTGCTGCCCCCTTCTCCTTTTGCCTTCAGTCTTTCCCAGCATCAAGGTCTTTTCCAATGAGTCAGCTCTTTGTGACTATAGAATCCAGTTTGACAGTTAAGATGATACAAGTACACCTATCAAAGATCTAACATAAAACTGGGACTGGATTTGGGGAAGGCAGCACTAGTGTAATAAGGAACTGCTGTTTTTTTCCTGTGCAGGTTCTGTCTTTCCTGATGGGAACAGAAACCAAACATGCCTTTGAGGGGCCAGCCACCTCTTGTCAATTCTTGGTCCAGGTGGTTTGAGCAGAGCTAACAGTGCCCATGTCAAGGGAGGTCACGTGACCCAGGCCTGGCCAATCAGTATTTCTCCAATCCCCCCACCAACTGATTGGTTCATACAGGGATGCATGGCTCAAACAGTCAATGGGAGTCAGCTCTGGGACTTCACCTACAAGTATTAATTTAGAGATGCCCTCTTTCTCCTGGGTTTGTTAATCTGGTAGAAGGTACACCTGGGGCTGTTGAGTGTGGAGACTCTGCCTAAGAATGAAGCTGGGAACTTCCCCGAGGGTCCAGTGGCTAAGACTCCATGCTCCCAATGCAGGGGGCTGGGGTTCGATCCCTGGTCAGGAAACTAGATCCCACATGCTGCAACTGCCACAACTAAAGATCCCCATGTCACAACGAAGATCGAAGATCCCATGTGCCACAACTAAGACCTGAGGAAGCCAAATAAATAAATAATTTTTTTAAAAGAAGAATGAAGCCAAACAGGAAAACAGAATTGGGACACGGTAAGAGACAGCATTCTTATAACATCATTTCGGCACTTGAATCTAACCAAGTCTGAATGCAATGCTAACACTCTTAGTTATAGGAATTAATAAATTCCTTTCTGGTTAGTCCAGTTTGGGTCTGGTTTCTGATCTTGGCAATGAAGACAGCTCTTGCTAAGACAATTAAGAAAAAGACATACCTCCTCCCTTTAAGTCAACCCTCCTTATCCCAGGCACAGCCACTCCAATACACTCAGTATCTTACTCTTGGAAATAACCATTCAGGACCACAAGGCCAAAGGAAATACAAGACAGAGCTCCCCAAGGCAGGGAGAATGGAACACAGTATCTTCTCAACATTACTGCCACAGCACACCTCCCTCTGGGTACTGCCCTTTGCAGGGAAACAACTAGTTTCCTCCAGAGTCCTGATAATCTAAGACAAACACCAACAATCTGGAGAAAACAATATGAGGGTGCAGGGACCATAAAATTAAAAACAATAATCCAATGGCCATATTTAAAGTGGCTGTTTGCTTGGGTGGTAGAGAACTGTTTTAGCAGAGAGAGAGGAAAAAGGGATGGGCAGTGACGCCCATAGCCTAAACTCTCATGTCTGCCAAGCAGGTTCCTAGATATGAAAGTTAAGCCCGAAAGTAAGAAAAAAATGAAGGCAATGAAGTGAATAGATAACACTTACGAGTAACATGGAAGAATGCTCTGAGCATATCTCCTTTGGCCCCCAGTTGAGAGGGCTCAGTCCCCAGATTTACACAGTTTCCTCATTCTCTCCTTCCTGAGCCCCCAGAGAGGAAAACTGTGCCTCATTTTTTTAAATTTAGCTTTTAATTTTTAAATAATCTCACACTTCTGAAAGAATTGTAAGAGTGCAAAGAACTCCCCTACACCTTTTGCCCAGATTCACCAACTATTAGCATTATGACATATTTGCTTTCTTCTCGTGTGTGTGTGTGTGTGTGTGTGTGCATGTGTTTATGTGTACTGTGTGTGTTCTTTACCTGTATCAGGCATCAGTAAACCCACCAGCCAAATCTGGCCACCTGATTTTGTACAGGCAGTAAGCTAGAAATGATTTTTGTCTTGTTGCAAAAGATCAAAAGAAGAATATTTCGTGACATGTAAAACATATATGAAATTGAAACTCTGGAATCCATGAATAAATATCCATTTCACTGGAGCACAGCCATGCCCATTCATTTATGTATCGTCTGTGGCACCACAACAACGGAGCAAGAGCAGTTGTGACAGAGACCACATGGCCCGCAAAGCCCAGAATCCTCACTACTTGGCCTTTTTGTCAAGAGTCTATTTCTGTTCCAAATCATTTGGGAGTTACTTGTAGACAATAGGCTTCTTTACTCCTAAATACATCAATGCATATTTCCTAAGGACATGACATTCTCTTATACTATCAAATATAGAAAATGTTACTTTGATACAATACAGTACTGTGACCTCAAATACCATCCAAATTCAAGTTTGGATGTGAACTCTCTTTTTTAAATTTTTATTATTATTTATTTATGGCTGTGCGGGGTCTTGGCTGCTGCATGAAGGCTTTCCCTAGTTGCTACAAGCAGGAGCTACTCTCTAGTTGCAGTGCTCGTGTTTCTCATTGCAGTGGCTTCTCTTGTTGTGGAGCCTGGGTTCTAGAGCCCGGGCTCAGTAGTTATGGCACGTGGGCTTAGATGCTCCTTGGCGTGTGGGATCTTCCCATACCAGGGATCAAACCTGTATCACCTGCATTGGCAGGCAGATTCTTAACCACTGGCCCACCAGGGAAGTCCTGCGAACTATCTCTGGATGGCAATTTCTCCCCAGACCCTGGGCCCAATTCCATCTTATGCCTTGTATTGTTGTTCATATCTCTTTGGTCTCCTTTAATCTAGACCAGCTCCTCAACTTCTATCTTGGGAATATCAGCATTTCTAAAGTGTTCAATCCAGTTGCTTTGGAGAATGTCCCTCTGCCTTGGTTTGTCTGATATTTCCTCATGATTGAATTCTGAATATGCATCTGGGACAAACATGCCACTCAAGTGACATTGGGTCCTCAGTGTCTCCCATGAGAAGGGACGTGGAGTCTGTAATGTTAACTCTGATTGCTTGGGAGAAATAGTGGCCATCTGCCACCATTCTCCACTGTACAGTGACCAGCTTCCTACCTGTAATGAATGAATAGTCTGTACAGAAAGAGGCTTCAGCGCCAAAACAGTCCTCAATGTTCAACCAGTGTCTGTGGGTAAGAAAGGCAACTCTCCAGAACCGGACATAGAGGATGGGCGCAAAGAGACCCCCAACTACACAGCCTTTGAGAAAGTGAAGCCTTTGGATTTGGAGTCCCCAGCAATGGAAGGTAAAACACCACACCACCTCCTGGCACTCTTTGGTGTCAGGCCCCCGTACAGTGAGATAAGACCCAGACTGCAACATCAACAGACAGATGCTCACCAGGCCCTCTTCAGTTTGAATTAATATTTAATTTTACAAGTAAACATAAGGACATTATCCTTGTTAAACATTAAAACACTACAGCTACAGCTAGAGTTGACTTTGAATAAACCCCTATCCTGTCTTCTCCCCCTTCTCCAGGGGTAACAACTGTTACCAGTTTCCTTCTAGACTGTATTCTATGTATCTATGTATTTCTTTGTTCTACATAGACCTATTTATATATATATATATATATACACACACTAAACATATATGAGAAAAATGTTCACTGTTGCAAAAACTAATTGTCCCTAATACTTATTCCCCTTTGTTTCCTTTTTTTAAATAATGAGTTTTGAGTATTTATTACATCTCAGTTTTTTGTTTTTTAGCCCCACACCATGCGGCACATGAGGCATGTAGGATCTTAGTTCCCCACTCAGGAATCAAACCTGTATCCCCTACATTGGGAGCAGAGAGTCAACCACTGGACCCCCAGAGAAGTCCTCCTTGGCTTCCTTTTAATAACAGGACCCCATCAAGACATAGCCAGCACATGGCTGTCCAGCTACAGACACTTCCCAGCCTCTTTTGCAGCTAAGTGTAGGAATACAACCAAGTGTTAGCCAATGGGTTGCAAGCAGAAGTGATGTAAGCTCTGAACTACATTTTTTTTTAACCACTACACCTGCTATTTCTAGCTATTAAGTTTTCACATGTCAAGGCAACCACATTTTTCTAAGTAATGGTTTGCCCTCCACTCTTTCTTTCCCTGGCTGGCATATGGCAACAATGGATCCAGTTACCTAGAAACTGGAAGTGGAAGCTACATGGTACAAATGACAAAGCCCACAGTGCCCTCCTCAGCCAAACCAACCTGGATCTTGTTTTAAAACATGACCACCAGTCCTTTAGCACTCCTCACATAGAGGAGTGGTATCTCTTTTCAGTCTCCTTAAATGCAAGTAGGCTTGTGGCTGGTCTGACCAATAAAATATGTCAGAAGTACCCCCCCAAAACAAACAGCCCAATTAAAAAATGGACAGAAGATCTGAATAGACATTTTTCTAAAGAAGCCATACAGATCACCAACAGGCACATGAAAAGATGCTCAACATCACTAATCATCAAGGAAATGCGAATCAAAACCACAGGGAGATATCACCTAACACCTGTCAGAATGGCTATCATTGAAAAGACCTCAAATAACAAATGCTGGCAAGGATGTGGAGGAAAGGGAACCTTTTTTCCACACTGTTGGTGGGAATGTAAATTTGTGCAGCCACTGTGGAAACAGTATGGAGGTTCCTCAAAAAAACTAAAAATAGACCTACCATATGATCCAGCACTTCCACTCGTGGGTTTGTATCTGAAGGAAATGAAAACACTAACTCAAAAAGATACATGCACCTCAATGTTCATAGCAGCATTATTTATAATAGCCAAGATACGAAAGTAACCTAAATGTCCATCAGCAGATGAATGGATAAAGATGTGGTACACACACACACACACACACACACACACACACACAGAGGAATACTATGCAGCCATAAAAAAAGAATAACATTTT